TAATTCTTTTATATATAATTTTCAATAATAAAATTTAAAAATTATTTATATTTTTCAAAAAGTTTATAATATAAAAATGTTATAATTTATTTATAAAGGTTTTCTTTTAATTTAAAACTTTTTAATTAAATTCTATTCATTATATTTGATCTAATTACTTATTATCATAGTTGACTTTGTAAATTTATTAAATCATAATATTATTTCCAACAATAAATTATCTCAATTATCATTTGTATAATTTAAATTTCGTAAGTCCTACTTATTTCGTATTTAAAGTCCTACCTTTAATCTAAATTAGGCTAGTTAATGATATGAATATTGTGCATTCATAGCATTAACTAACCTAATTTAGATTTATTTAATACTTGCTAATCTTTTTAATGTAATGTTTAACTACTGTTTAGCAGTTGATATCCAACAATTTATACATAACCAGGCTAAGATAAAGAGTCATTAGGGTCCTTTTACTCGGGCCACGGATATAGAGGAGGGTATCAAAGTTTATTCTTTTATATATACAAAACGTGCTATCAAAGTGATATAAATTATAAGTGGTGTGAAAAATCTGTTTTTATTTACTTTATTTATTTATTTATGTTTTTATGACTTTTGGAGAGAGATGGAGTCCATATTTCTGACGCTTGGAACCTTTTCCTCAGATTTCTTTGTTTTACATTCAACAAAGTTGATATGAAACAGCAAATATATTATTTTTAACTTCTGAATATTTCACACGTCACAAAATTGTAAGAAAACACAATTTATTGTTTCAGTTTTCATAACGTTTGCGTGTTTTTTTTTTTATGNCAGAAAAACACATTTAAGTTTAATCTTTCAATTCTTATTTTTATAAATATAAAAGAGTTTATTTGATATAAATATTCGAAAACCTTAGAAAAACATTGAATAATAAGATAATATTTTAATCAATTCTCATCAAACAAGCCATTAATATTTATTGCAGACTTAACACCAATGAACTGTAGCAAATAACTATGTATAAGAACTTTGAACTCCCTTTATATAAGTAGCACTTGAATAAAGTAAACTGTACTGTCTGTTTGTAGTAACAGTATGTTTATAATATAATTTAAAACTTTCAGAATTGAACAGTTAAATATTAAATTATATTCTGATGCTTTTGGCCAAAAATTATTTCTCGTTACATTAAAAATTACAAATTAGAAATATATTATTAAAATTTAAGTTATTGTAAACAGTTTATTTTATTATCGATATGATTCATCATTTAATTTTATCTGAATTCAGCAATTATGGATAAATAAGTTTAATATTCTACTTCTCAGATGATGTATTTTAACTCTTATCAAAGTTCGATAATTATTGATGTTATTAATATTAAATGAAGGAATTTAACTATTTTTTTTTTCTTTTAAATAATCTAAATTTTCGACTTCAGAACAAAGAAATATCAGTGTTCGAAATATTTAAAAATTAGCATTTTCTTCGTCAGAATAGATATTGTTTGCAGCTTTATTATTTCTCTGTACAAAATAATTTTTCAAATTGTTCACTAAAGATTATAATGTAAAATTTAAAAAAAAATTTAGCATTTTAATTATTTTCTTCATAGAAATAATTGAAAGTATACTTAAATAAAATAACATTTAAAAGAGACTGAAATTCTGATTAGAAATGATATTAAATGACATGAAGAATTAAGACACAAATCTTAATACTTACCTGTCTATAGACACAAATTAGTTGCTTGATTATTTTGATTTGAAGACAGAAAATAGATATTAATTACGGAATTGAAATTTCTTAATTCAAATTTTAAAGGTAGAAATCATGAAAAGGAATGTTGCACAAGTTTTGTTTTCAGAGTTAGTAGATTGTTGTCTATTTTGTTTGAATTTCCTTATATCGCTGTTTCGGTTCAATTTCGTATTTTCTAGGTTCCATTTAACTGAATGATTGAAGTTCAATCTTCTTCCTATCAGAGCAAAGAAGAAGATTAAATAGTTCGAATTGTTTTTATTTTTCACAAACATTTTGAATTGATGTTTCGTTCTTTATCGAAAAATCTTCTCAAAAAGTTTAATCGCGAATAATGAAATACTGTTTCTTATAAAATATATTTAAATTTTACTTAAATTTTAATGTCTGTTTACTATAAAAATGTAAGATAATTGAAAAAATGCAAAGTCATATTTAATTTAAAAACAGGAATAAATAGCCTAATAAACAAGAAAATTTTTCAAATTGAAATAAACCATAAATTATCGAAAATATTTTTTTAAAAGAAAATATATTTATTTCTTTTTTAATTTATTAATGTGTGTATCACTCAAGAAAACTGCAAAAAAAAAAAAGATATTCTAGATGAATAGATTGATATTGGGTAGATGACAGTTACGGCATACATGACATAGATCACGTATTACATAACAGAATTTTTATTTTCTGAGAGATGCTTTTAACAAAAGACAAAAAAAGCTGGGAATTTAACCGGGTCTATTAAATTTGGCATTGCATAAAGTAATGATGAAAATAAGTATTGTGGTTTCAGGTGTAATATTAGTCTTTCTTTTAAGTATACGAGACAATCATAGATTAAATGTTGTCTATCTTCA